TCAAGTCAAAGTAATGAAGCAGCACATGTCGAAAAAACAACTTATCACGTTCCATATTTAATCAAAAGAAAAAATAGCACTGCTCGCTTAAATGAATCTCTTCGCACTGAATTTTATTGACAAATGTCTAACCTCTAAAATGCAGCTAGTTTCAGATGTCAAAATAAATTACACCTACAACTAACGTCATCTAACTGTGAGCCGCAGGAACTAAGTTTACCACCTAATATATTTCATGTTTTCTTATTAAATTCCATATTAAATTATGAAACATAACACGTTATGATATGTTAGAATAATTTTTCTAATATATCATAAATATGAGACTGTTTTGGTCACGTGGCCTGAAAGATTCAGCTTGCAAAGCATCGTGGCCTTTATCGATATTTCAACGGAGCTATCCAGAAATCTCTTCATTGGTTCTCCTTTATGTCATTGCAAAAGTTGTGCATTGTTATATTGTGATTTTGATCGCTGATTATGATTTTTCATAATTATGTATTATTAAATATAATATTGATTTTACTTATACTAAGCGGATCATTTACTATTGTGCCTGTTGACTTTTTTATAGAACACAAAGATTGTCTTATTCGGAAAAACCGTGTTGAAAAGAAAATTTGGGTCAGCGTCAATTCTTTCCATCATACTGTCGCAAAATTCGATTCGACGATCATCATCGTTAAGTTTTTATACCAAATGAAGCTTATATGGATGGAATTGAATTTTTTTAATCCTATGCATAGATGTACGAGCAATTTCATGCTCTTCCGATGCATTGCAAACAGTGAAATACGGATTCTCAATAAATGTTTGTGCAATTTGCAATTGATTTTCCTCGTTTGTTATTGACTTTGGTCATCTCGAAATTGGACGATTCTTAACGGTATCGAGTTCTTCATAGTGCTGAATCGTTTGAATTACAGTGAATTTTGAAATGGAAGTCTGTCTGTCAGGAATAGTTTGATTGAATAGCTTCTTTACTTCATTGTAAGATCGCTGGTGATTGCTTCAACCTCACATTATCAAGATAGTTATTCTCCTTTGCTCTAAAAGGTGTGCTATGATAATAATTAAAAAAATTTCAAATGAGCAAAATATATATGAAAGAAAGGAATCTTATCTAACAATATATGTAATAATCTAAAAGAATAAATTCAATAATTCAATCGAATTATTGAAATGGATAAGAAAAACAGTGCATTATTTCAGAAAACGAAAACTATGAACGATAATACAGTTGGTGGAATTTTTCATTAATACTTAGATATAATAAATTTAATGTAGTTCAAGTATGGGGGGCGCAGCGTACAAGTATTACACATTCAACTGGTTTCCAGAAGAATTTTTACGGTAAAGTCACACATTTACGATATAAGTGTACAATAAATTTGATAAGTCTTTTTGGATTACGCAAATTTTCCGGAAGTCATTCAAATAATTTATAACTAGATATCAAGATTTGAGACTTGATCTTTTTATCAATCGAATTTCCTTCTTGAAACTGGATGTAGATGGTGAGATCCACGTTAATTTAAATATTGTAAATTACGAAATCGTGTTACAGAGATAAAGCTTATTTCCTGATTATTCCGGACTTGAATAACTATTTTTCTTTTAGATCATCCATCAGAGTTGATCAGAAGCTATTTTCTACACATGAAATTTTCTGCTTTTTCCACTAGAAATAGAGATTTCCATTTGAATTATCAGAGATGACTTTGAAATTATCTCTGAATTTGAAATACGGTTAAGATCACAATTGGATATCTCTTCTCAAATCAAAGAACTTTTGTCTGAAACATTGAGTACGGTCCAGCGGGCGCTGCAAATGCTTTGTAGCGCCCGCGTTTTTACTTCTTTCTCTTCATTCGAATCCGAGGAATAGAGCAAGAGGGAGAAACGCTGTGCAGCATTTGTAGCGGTTGTTGGACTGCACCTATTTTCTCTGAAAAAGTCACATTTTTCAGTTATTCAGGAGTTATCCAGCAAAATTTAACTTGATTTTTAAATGATCCTAAAAATCACTTTGACCCACAACATGATCACATATCTAAACGTAAAATTTTCTATTCTTTTCATTTCTGGTGTCAGAATTAGAAAGAGGTTCCCAGTTAAATTTTTAAAGATAATCTGAAAAAGACCTCTAAGTTTCACTCCTAGAACACAATCAAGGTCACCGTTACATACCTCTCTTTAAACCCAAGAACTTTTGTCTAAAATGTTTTCTCCGAAAACGTCATCTTTCAAAGTTATTCAGGAGGTTTGATCTTTTTAGGATACTCTGTATATACAGGGTGTCCAAAAACTGGTAGAACACCCGTTAGGGGTAGGTAGGGGGTGCAATTTGGAATTGAAAGTTCCTCTTGCATTTTTGGATCCGACAATTAGTTAACGAAATATTAATGAATTAAGTCTGCCAATTTCTTGAGTGAACGCTCAGAGACGTAGAATGCTGTGGACTTCTCAGGGGCTCTTCTTGTCCGTTTGTCTCCCCTTTTTGTACTACAAGGGAATAAATGTAGATGAGTGAGTGAGTGAATGTGTGGGTGAGTGCCTGACCGGGACTAGGAGGGGAGGGAGGGTGGCAAGTTTTCTGTATGTGAGAGTAACGTGCGGGTGTTTTTGTGTGCGATTATGAGTGCATGGATAATTTGAATGTTTTTGAAGTGAAAATGGGCGGAATGATTGCGCTTTATATGCCGGAGGGGGAGGACATGTATGATATGCTTCCTTCGAGTGCGTGGATGACTTGAATATTTTCTGCACGTCGGTGGTTGAGTACCGTGAATAATTTTGTATGTGTGTATGGGGGGTAGGGTGATAGGGAGTGTAAGTGATTTTCTTGCATTATATGTATGAGACTCCCACATACAGAAAACTTGCCACCCCCCCTCCTCTCCTAGTCCCGGTCAGGCACTCACCCACTCACTCACTCATCCACATTTATTCTCTTGTGATACAAAAAGAGGAGACAAACGGACAAAAAGGGCCCCTGTGAAGTCCACAGCGTTCTACGTCTCTGAGCGTTCACTCGGGACGGTAAGAAATTGGCAGACTTAATTCATTAATATTTAACTAATTGTCGGATCCAAAAATGCAAAAGAAACTTTCAATTCCAAATTGCACTCCCTACCTACCTCTAACGGGTGTTCTACTAGTTTTGGGACACCCTGTATATGTGTGTACGTACATTACATATATTATTTATATTTATAGTTGAATGAAATAAACGTCGACTAACTACCACATAACGTTCCAGGTTCTTTCTCTAACATGCGAAGGCAGCGGTGGTTCGGTCATTTGGGCTGGCAACGACAGAGGTGTTATAGTTTCTTTCCAATTGGAATCCGGCATAGGACGGCTAACGAAACTACAAAGAGTACAGGAAACTGGTGGTATGATAACTAGCCTTTCTTGGCGCTCCTGGCTATCGAAGGACGCTCCTTGGGCGGCGTTGTTAGTAAGCAGCGCTTGTAACGCGGTATTGCTATATCGTGTTGCTGATAGTCACGGTTCTTTATGCTTTTGGAGAAAATATCCTATTAAACATAGGTATCACTTTATCCTATAAAATTTATTTTTTTTTGTTTTCATATTTTAATACTCATATACATGTATATTTGTAGATATTACCCATTGCGGTCTACCTTCTGTCCGCAAATGGGCGCATGTTTAATAGCTACTGGGTCGGAGGATGGAGCCGTTCATCTATTAGATTCCGCAAGAGAGGGAAAGTCCGCAAAGATCAACAGACTGCTCGGTCATGCGACGCCTACATTAGCGTTGTCTTTTAATTATGACGAATCTCTACTTGCATCTGCAGATCACGATGGATTGATCATTCTGTGGCGCAATCATCAGCGTCACTTGTAAAGCACTTGTTCGCATGCGTATGATCTTTTAATCGAGTTAGAAAATAGTCTTCCTCCACAAAGAAATTTTCCGACTATTTTTATAAACTAATAAAACAAAAAATTGATATTCAAAATTTGATTATCAAAATATTATGTATGATATTATTGTGCGTAAGATGTAAAATAATATTAAGAAAAATGTTTTTATTTCTGTAATATATTCTTGATTAAACGTAATATCTTTGTAAATTTTAAAATTATCACTCGACCACGCAAGGTTCGAGTTTTGATTATTTAGTTTCAAAGTCTACGACCATCCTCTAATAAAAAGATCTTAAAAAGTCATCCTCTAATAAAAAATAAAGATCATGATACTACTCAATGTCAGTTCTTATTTTCAAGTAATACGACTTTACAATAGATCAGACGTTAAATTTTTGATAATTGTGTGATTGGATAGATAGATGGGCTTTTAACGTTGAATGCTTGTATCTTAATTATTAATGTAAATATCATTGATAAATATCAAAATAAAATTAATTAGATAAGAAAGAGTTAATATAAGTTAATTAGTGTAACAACACCAAAGAATGAGGGTAAAAACACAGTTTAAACGAATAAACGGTTTCTTCTGTATAACAATATATTAATATTCTCTATTTATATCATAGTTATTTATATCCTATATAATAGTGAGCACAAAGCAGTATCAGTAGTAATAGATGTGGTAATAGCGAGAACCATGATAGCGTTCGCGGTGCTACGATAGAGGCGAATCTTTATATAATGTCTCTTCGCGTAATTTGGTGAAACAATAGTGGCACGAACAACCACACGGTTTTCATATGACATTAAAGTAGTAATAGTAGTAGTAGTAGTAGTAGTAGTAGTAGTAGTAGTAGTATAGTAGTTTGCATTTCGATACTGATTTCATTGGTTCGTTCCGACTTTCGTTTTTTCATATATATTCGATATAAATAATTATACAAAAAACAAAGTACATTATCGCAAACGAATAACTTGTAAAAAATTGTTTATACTTGTAAAAATGTTCTTGCGCCCTCGTATATCATGCATTTACGAGTACTTTAGAATTATAGAAATATCTTCTTTTGCAATGTATGTACTATATGTCGGAGTTATCAATGATTATCTGTTTGAATATTGCACTCTTCTTCAGAGGAAGGAATATATCGTAGTCGCGCGGAGTTATTTATTAGATTAAAAGTAAAATAATATGCGATATCTGTGTTATATACACCATACAGAAAAAGGCAATGGTTATATGCAACATGATCTCGTACTATGTATCGGAGAAATAATTCACCTTCACGGATTCTCGCTTCTGTATACGACATGCACGCACGCAAACTTCCAATTTATCAAACAGATCAGATATTTACCATAATAATTCATCCCTTTCTCTTTTTTAAAGTTCCGATATAAAATGGACTGAATATACGAATACGCATTATAATCTCTCATCACAGATCTAGTAAAAATAAGAATCTATCTCGATATATCGTGTATAACGTCATGTAGAAAATTAGTCGTGCAAGTATTTTCTTTCGCCACAAGAGTGGATATAAACGCGCGCGCGCGCGCACGTGTGTGTGTCGTGTATACTTCGCAATATTATACAATACTTTGATAATAGAGAGCAGATTGACGTATAAATGAATATCGAAAGACGCATGATCATGAACGTCGATATAAAGGAGAAAGAATAACATGAAAGACGCTTTGAATATGACGCGTTTCTTATACTGGAGTCACTTCTTATACTGGAAAATAATCATACCGTTTCTACACAGGCACTACTGCTCGTTTAACGATTACGTTACGGATGATATATAAATATATATAAATGTGTGTGTGTGTGTATGTGTAGTGTGTACGAAAAGTACCAGACCCCTGAATTTTTTCGAAAAATACGCATTGTAGAAAAAAATGTTTTTAACAAAAGTTGTACAGTTTTAAGTGACGCATCAGACAATAGTATGAATATGACCTTGAATAGCGTTATGAAGGTGACATAGAGGTCACCTTTAATTTCTTAAATGGAACTCCCCATTTTTTATTACATATTCTTATAGCTTATCTCAAGAGCTTTCCAAAATACTGTAATAAAATATTTGTTCGTTAAGAACTTTTCGAGTAATAACACTTGAAATGTCCAGCACTTTGACATAGAATACAAAATATCTCGTAAAATATTCATCTTTCGATTATCTTGCCTTAATGCTTTTTTGCACAAGATTAAGACAAAATTAAGACAAGATAATCGAAAGATGAATATTTTACGAAATATTTTGTATTCTATATCAAAGTGCTGGACATTTCAAGTGTTATTACTCGAAAAGTTCTTAACGAAAAAATATTTTATTATAGTATTTTGGAAAGCTCTTGAGATAAGCTACAAGAATGTGTAATCAAAAATGGGGAGTTCCACTTAAGAAATTAAAGGTGACCTCTACGTCACCTTTATAACGCTATTCAAGGTTCATATTCATATTACTGTCAGATGCGTCACTTAAAACTGCACAACTTTTATCAGAAACATTTTTTTCTACAATGCGTATTTTTCGAAAAAATTCAGGGATCCGGGACTTTTCGTACACCCTACACACACACACACACACACACACACACACGCACGCACGCACGCACGCACGCACGCACATGCACACACAGGGTGTCCGAACCTTTCTTGACATAATTCGTTAGAAAGTAGAACGGATTAAACATAACAGAAAAGTCAAATACCATTTTGCGAAATTCGCAATAGTTTTCGAGTAATTAATTATTTTGTCTCAGAAAATTAGCGCTTGGACTGGCGCGCGACCGTGATATACGCTAATCGCTGCGTCCCTCCACCCATAGTTACGCTGTATCACGCAACTATGGTAACTATGGCTACGAGACATATCGTAACTATGGGCGGAGGGACGCAGCGAGTCGCGATTCGCGTGTATCATAATCGCGCGCCGCTATTCGCGCGTATCAGTCGCGCGCCGGCTCGAGGGCTTATTTGCTCAGACAAAATAATTAATTCCTTGAAAATTATTGCGAATTTCGCAAAATGGTATTTGACTTTTCTGTCTCGTTTAATCTATTCTACGTCCCTACGACTTCTGTCAAGGTTCGGACACCGTGTGTGTGTGTGTGTGTGTGTGTATATGTGTGTGTGTGTACATACATACACAGGGTGTTTCAGACTTCCATGAGGACTCTGTGAGAACGTAGAACGGATTGAGGTAAGCAAGAAAATCCTGTGCCGTTTTGCGATATTCGCAATAATAGTCAAGATATTAATTAAAAAAGATTGGTGAATGATCACGCGCAATATGGTAGATGAGTTGCAATGGCGCCGTTTGCCGTTGTATATTTATACATTAAGTCAAACTGAACAAAAAAGTCCTTTACCATTTTGTAAATGACCACATAGATTTTTAGATATTAATTAAAGAAAATTTGTACATTATGGTATACAATCATATATGTAACAATTTTCTTTAATATTTAAAAATCTATGTCATTTGCAAAATGGTAGAGGACTTTTTTGTTCACCTCAATTCGTTCTATATTCTCACAAAGGATTATCACGAAAGTCTGAGACACACACACACACACACAGGATATTTTACTTTAAGTGATATGATCGATTATCTCGCGAATCGATGATTTTATTGAAAAATTTTTCCAACGAAAGTTGCATGACTTGAAGGGGGGTACATGATGAAAATGTGGACTTGATCTTAAGTGATTTTGTCAAAATCAAGTCAAAGTCATTAATGTTTTTTTGAACGGAAACCCCTATTTTTTATTACATATTCTTGTAGCTTATCGTAAGAGCTTTAATACTATAATAAACATATACAAAACACTATAATAAAGTTACGTTTTGTTGAGTACTTTCCGAGTATGGAGCTTGAAAGTTACAGTATCGCCAGTATTATCCATGCGTATGTGAACGGGATCTTACGCGCGCGCGTCTCCGCGATCTATTCGCACTGCTTGACATATGCTCACGCGCACGGAATTGAGTCCAATTTTTTCCAATTGAACGATTCAACTTTCCTCTTTTTTTCGTATAGCTTTTCAGTGGTCGGTCTTGCCTTAGTTGGCCGGATCAGTAATCGGTCTTGCCTTAGTTGACCGGATCAGTGATCGGTCTTGCCTTAACTTTCAAGCTCCATAATTCGGAAAGTACTCCAGAAAACGTAACTTTATTAAAGTGTTTTGGAAAGATCTCGCGATAAGCTACAAGAATATAAAATATATACAAGAATATAATAAAAAATAGGGGTTTCCGTTTAAAAAAACATTAATGACCTTGACCTGATTTTGACAAAGTCACTCAAGGTCAAGTCCACATTTTCATCATGTGTCCTCCTTTAAGCCATGCAACTTTTGTTTGAAAAATTTTTCAATAAAATCATCGATTCGCGAAATAATCGACCATATCACTTAAAGTGAAACACCCTGTATATATACAGGGTGGGCCATTTTAATTTATCCAGCCAAATATTTCGAAAACTAAGACCGGCAGACAAAAATATTTCAGACAAAAGTTATATGGATCGATGGGGGATACAAGAAGGTATTGGTTTGACCTTGTGTAGTCCCGTCAAAATCAGGTCGAGATTGCTTTGCTTTTTTAAATAGAAACATATATTTTTTATGGAATTTTATTCTACATAAAGAAGCAAACTTTTTTTTTAAAACATTTTTTATCCGACCTTTATTTTCTAAGATATTTACGGAAATATTTACAAAATTATTAGTTTCAATAATTTTTTACTCGAATTCTATCAACTTTACCGAAATGAAACTTTACAGAAAATGCAGTACTAGAAAGTTAATTTAAAAATTCTGAAAAAAATCTCAGAGCTCTATGAGAAGAAAATAGACAATTTTTATCTCTTGTTATTTTTCGGTAAAGTTAATAGAAGTCGAGTAAAAAATTATTGAAACCAATAATTTTGTAGATATTTGCGTAAATATCTTAGAAAATAAAGGTCGGATAAAAAATGTTTTCATACAAAAGTTGCTTCTTTACGTACAATAAAATTTTGTAATAAAAAATGTATGTTTCTATTTAAAAAAGCAAAGTTGACCTTGGCGGGGCCATGCAAGGTCAAACCAATGGTACTTTCTTATGTCCCTCATCGATCCATATAACTTTTGTCTAAAACATTTTTGTCTGCTGGTCTTAGTTTTTGAAATATTCGGCTGGATAAATTAAAGTGGCCTACAACACACACACACACACACACACACACACACACACACACACACACACACACACACAC